CAAAATTCACTTCTTATTATATTTGGCCCTGAGAATTTCCCCAAATTTAAGTTTCAACTGAATCAAAACTTTATAGTGGAAATAAATGTTGGGTATGTGCTTTCTTAAAATATAGACCAAACTTTTTAGAATGTGTCCCGTTTTACTATTTTATGGCGGTCAAAACATGCATGGAATGCGTATTTCCGGAAAAATCGTTAAAAATCAACTACTTAAAAGGAATTTTCAATAGGTCCGCATCATAACACCACTTTCAAATTTTCTCAGTTGAAACATTGATTTAAAAGCATTCTTTATGCAAAAAATTACGATGGTGTTATTTTGCGGACTATGTTTATTTTTTAAAAATGTGTTCATTTTTACACCACCAAAACCCATGAATGAGACAGAATGTTGCTATAACACGTTTTATAACTCGCCAAGTATCGCTGAAAAATCGTAATTTTATAGGATGAAGTCTTCACATCAATATTATGAACATCAAGTAATGTTATTTCATATATTTAGTTGCAATGCTTTTGTCTATAAAGTCTTATTGATAAAATAAGAAATACATATACGTCATTTTTAAAAATAATGACGTCACAATGGGGTGTAATACTTTTGATAAAATATAGATCTATACCGTTAGTCCTTTGTGCAATATAATCCTAAGCATAAGAAATACAACGTATATACTTATCGTGATAACAAAATGTAATAGGATAGACAATTTTAAGATACTTTTAATTGTCAAGAATCACAAAGTTTGCATGTGTTCCAAGAAAGCATTGCCTATTTGGCGTGCATCTGCAAAACTTAAATCCATATTTTGACACGCTTTTTCAATATTTGCTAAGAAATTACAGGTATTTATCGAAAATTACCAGCGTATTGCAGTGGTTAGAGCATTATGCTCTAGAGTTGCGAAGTAAGGAATTGATCCTTACGTCGCTGGTTCGAATCCATTGTGGGTCGTGGAGACAGGTTCTTCAGCTCGAACGAGATCGTATAAACCGAGATGCTGGCACGAAAAAAAAAACCTCACTGCTCAATGACCCAATCGTCTACTCGACCATTTCCGTAACCACAAATAACTTTTTATCAGATACGGAAAAGGGCGAGTGTGATCCGATTGCTCAATGACCCTGACTAAGTGCCGAGCATAAGACAAAATTTGCAGCTCTCCACCGGCTAGTAGTGGTGTCTCCATATGAGTGAAATATTCTCCAAAAGGACATTAAACTACAAGTTTACAATCAATCAACCAATCAATCAATCGATTGTCTCTATGGGTACATGTACTCATAGGCGTAGTCACAGGGGGGGGCAGCGGGGGCACTAGCCCCCCCCCCCCACTTTCAGATCTGGGGGGGCAAGAGTATGTCTGTGCCCCCCCCCCCCACTTTTTAATGAAGAACAAAATAACAGCTATTTTGATATCAATATATAGTTGTGTAGAAAAATTGGAATTGAAAGTAACTTGCCTTTGAGAAAAAAACTGGCCTCTCCCCCCCCCCCCCCAACCACCACCAAATAGGATTTTCGAGTTTGGTCAACTTTCAATTGTTTTTTTTTTTTTTTGCTTGTCAAAGAATTTCTGGACTTGAGCCCCCCCAACCACCACGAAATGCGAAATAGGATTTTCGAGTTTGGGGAACTTCCTTTTTTTTTTTTTTTTTTTTTTTGCTTGTAATTTCTGGACTTGAGCCCCCCCCCCCCCCCCACACTTTTAAGTTTGTGACTACGCCTCTGCATGTACTTGTAATGAGATATCTGTTTAAAAGTGTAAAGTTTCGAAAGGGCTCGTATATGTCCTTAACTTGTATTATATTCTCAGTTTACGTAAATTATATATTCTTTCATGTCAAATTTTTTTTTTAATTCATTCATTCTACCCTCTACCTTCTAAATAAATGGTGAAGTTTTACTTGATGTTTATTTTAACGATAAACATAATAATACTCTTCCAACCTCAACTTTTTACTTCTCTCTCTCTCGCTCTCTCTCTCTGTTAACTTTTTTGTTATGTAAAAAAAATATACGCATAATTATCACTGAACTGAATGTTCAGCTATATTTTGCTTATCAATGATTATTAGTGCTTCGGACTTAAACACGTGTTTTTATGACAAAGTGACTTAAATATTTCAAATAGTGTTATTGTTCTCACCTCATTATATATGTCCGCCATAGAACATGTAAACTATATCAATTTTATTATATATCTGATATGACTATATAAAAGATATATAGGAAGGAAATAGGTTCAAAGTTTGTTTTGTTTTATGTTTATAATCTGCTCCATGGAAGTTGCTGTTGCACATTATACGAAATAATGAATAACTGTCAGATTTTTTTCAATTTATGACAATGATCAATCGATTGGCTTGCGTGATAATTTTATGCATAATCGCCTACGGTTATTCCTTAAATAAACCGTGTGGTACATGTACCTTTCTCTCCTTGTTTACTACAGGGTGAATTAATGTACAAATATTTAGCTCATCTATGTACCAACCGATATACCTACATATCTCAATTTTTTTTTGTGAAATTTCACCTCTCGTATACAACGTCATTCATGAAGAAGAACGATAACACAAAACCTTGACATTGTGAAAATGTGAAGGTTATATGTAACACGTGTAAATCATCGTTTGAAATTCGGTCTGTTCAATACGCATATCACGTAGAAAATAGTAACATATCTGCATGTATTAGAACAAAACTCTACATTTTATTTTTCAGAAAACCTGACATAATTATGATAACATGAATTTACTTCGAATTCGCTGTTGGAATATTGTTTTTAAAAATAAAATCCATTCCATTTTTTCCCCAGACCAGTGAGCATAGGTCTTCAGCTACATACACACTAAATCATTTTCTATAACAATGGCAATTATAATCATTTTAGTCGTTTACAAATTTGGTCAGGCACGTAGCATCGTTTTTGAAAGGGGGGGGGGGCAGAGAAAAAATATATATTTTACTTACCTGAAAAATTTGACAAGCAAAAAAAAACTAAACAAAACGGAAAATTAAAAGTTGCCCAAACTCGAAAATCCTATTCCGTGGGGGGTGGGGGTAGTGGTCAACTTTTTCAAAGCAAAATTACTTTCACTTCCTTTTTTTCCTACACTTCCTTGATATCACTATACTATGTTACAAAGTGTGGGGGGGGGGGGGGGGGACAACCATCCTTTTTAATGAACATTTTCTATAGTAAAGGTAATGTTGGGGAAAAAGTGCCCCCCCCCCCTGTTGCTACGTCCTGTTGGTTATTACAACCGTCTATAGAACTTCAGCGCTGAATCGCAGCGATAAACTACTGCATACGGAACGCATTTTGCCCGAGAATACTGTCAATAAATTTTTCTTATACCTTTTATTATTTATTTACATGCATGTATCTTGTACTGCCTTCCGTGATGTAAACTTCATTCCGTCATAGTTTATCACCAACGAATGCGACATTAAGATCCGCCTGTTATGTGACGTAAGCGGTCTAACATTTCATCGACAGGTCCAACATCTCAATCTGCAGTCAAACATCGATTTTTTTTATTCACACTCAGGAAAACATTAGATATGTTAGATTTTTTTCATATAGATTTGTACTGGAACAAATTCTTACAAATATAAAGGTATAACAACATAATTCTTTTCTTTCAACTTTTTAACTATACGATATACGGCTTATATTTTTGAATAAATCTTATAAAATGTTTTAATAAACATTGGTATAACCAAGCAATACAAATAACGACTTATTTTCATTATGGTAGGGGAAACACATTTTTAAATGTGATCATTTGTCATCTAATAAACAATGTCATTTATTGATGTGTTGTCAAATTCACAATTTCTCAGTTCTTCTGACCGTAAACTAATATAATCTTACTGGAAAATATAACCCTGGAAAAAAGGACGGTGTGGGTTTTTTTTGGTCAAAAAATTACATATCCTTTAGAAATATCAAAATTTGCCGAAATTTGCCGAAAGGAGCAAGACAAGATTAGTCCAGATGACGATTTTTATTTATTTTTTTTTAATCAAAACAACAAATGGTTAAGGTAGAGTAGAGATAATTTTGTACCGAATCGCTGTGCGAGTGTCAAAAGTCAGTTATACGTTGTTGAAAAGTAAAATTACTCGCAACGGTAGAAATTGAAATTCAACGAGCAAAATAATTGACTGAGGATCATTCTTCTTCATCGTTGCTCAATCTTCAATGTTGTGTTTTGAAATCAGTTGTTTATAAAATTTTAAACTCATATTAACAAGATCAGTTTCAATAAAAATTTATCAATACGATGATATCTCGTTATTTTAAGAAAAGTGTATTGAGGCAGAAGGAGAAAAGATAGAGAAGCAATGACGTTGCCATTAAGCAATTCAAAGGGCGACATATAGAGCAAGGTCATCCACTAACGATGAAATAGTAAAATGTTTAAAGAATCAAGTTGATTTTTTCAACATTTACAAGTACAGTTTTTTTTAATATTTAAAGTTCTTTAAAATATTGTAGCGGTATGAATCTCATGGCATCAGTCCGCGAACACATGAAAACTCTCCAAATGCACAACTTAATTTTCTCTAAATACGATTTTTTTTTTACAAAATCAAATCCAAACATACCAATTGATTCAAAGACTTGCTATTAATTATGGAAAATGAATCTAGTAAGTATCGTATGCTATATCAATGTTGAACAAAAAATATCGCGTTACGTTTGTGAATGAAATTCATTAAACGTTCAAAATGAAAAATGCATGCTAGCTGGACTTATTTTGAAATATCCTGTATCCCATTCTTGTTTATGACGTCGCATAAATCAACGTCAAAATATCGCAACGTTAACGTAAACAATGCTACCTTTACAGCTATGTAAAACATAAATAAAGCTCTGTACAGGTATATATTGATAATTTCATAAAAATATACACTCTTTAGAAGAACTTAGAGGAATATTATTAATTTTGACACGGGGCCGAATTTTGCGACAAATGAACCAGGTTCTTTGGCAATGTTGCTCTCTGGAAGGAGGCCTCCCTGACTAGTACCTTTGATGTAAACTCTGCTGCGTATCAAGCTATTGACGGGGTATGGCCTGAGGCAGGTAGTAACGATCGCTGTGCCCAGACCAACCTCCAATGGGCTCCACAGCTATTTATAGATTTAAAACAAGAACACTATGTCGACCATGTCGTTTTACTAAGTCGTGGAGATGTTGGAATTAGTCATGGTAAAACCCTTTTCCCTATTTGCTATATTGTATATTTACTAGTATATGTTTAAATATACATGTATTATATGAAATTCTTACACTGTACCGTAATATCTTTAGGTGTCGCTCGTGTGTCACAGTATATGTACATGTAGTTAGAGCGCATGCTCATGAGTCGAGGAGTAAGGAGTTGATCCTTAAGTCGCGGGTTCGAATCGCACTGTGGAACGTCCTTTGAGCGAGACCGTATAAACTTAGGTCCATGTTCCAGTAGGTGCTGTCAAGAAAAAAGGTCCCCAATGGCCCTTGATGCCGAATATAGGACTTTTCAGGTCTCGACCGGAAATTGGTGACGTCTCCATATATGAGCAAAACAATTCTCGAGAGGGACGTTAAAAGAACAACAAATAAACAAATAAACATTTTCATGGTTTAAAAATTATAAATTTGTGCTTAATTTAGCTTCTCATTCAGAAAAATATACTAAAACGCCGAATAAAGAACTTGTAATAGGGGTTTGGAATTTTTATCCAGGTGTATATGTTCAACGTTTGTATTACCAATCAGGAATATCTCTTTCAGGTTTTGCCTTATCGAAGATAAATATTTGGGTAGATGGTTCTCACTGTGGGTATTTTGAGGGTCCAGCGGAGCCTGGAACTAATGTCACAATTGTCTGCAGTGGGTGTTATTTTGGAAAAGTTGTCGCCGTATCAGCTTGGGATGGTATCTCGTCACGATATCTTTCGGTTTGTGAAGTTATGATCATCGGACTAAGAAAAACGTGATTATCGTTTTCTTATTACATACAACAACCTTGTATCCATTTTGATTTAATCATGAAAATCAACTGGACGTTGACTGCAAACGGGCTAAAAATAACTTCATGTATATGAAATGTACATACGTGTAGATTAAACACAACTCATCTTTTAACTCATCATCCGTGTGGAATTATAAAATTATTGGAAGGAAAACCCACTGAATATGGCAAAAAGCTTTTTCTACCTCGTTTTTTGAGCCTATACTATTCAGCGTGAAACTTCTTACTCTTGTAAGCTTTTTGTTGTGAATAAATTATAATAAAGCATTTTAAATGTCTCTGATTATTTTTCCATTCAAGTGTGAAAGACCTAATTTTTAATTATAAATGAATAGATGTACATGTTTTACAATTGAATTATAACAAAGAAAAGCCATTAACAAAGAGCGTGCTTTAAAAATCGAATCAACTGAGAGACATTTACTTCATATGCAGGTGATGAGTATATTGTTCTTACATGTGCAGTCTTGAGAGTATTGCCTTTGCAAAACCAGGTCTAATCTACTTCATTTAAAAGTTTTTGCTCCCCCCCCCCCCCCAAAAAAAAAAACTGAAACAGAATAAAATGCAAACCTGTTCTATAACCAAATACGTAAAACTTGTACCAAAATTCAGCTTGATTTCTGCAAGAGATCAGGTCGAAAAACATATGGGACAAACTAACAGGCAAATAAAATAGGTTAAATAACCCATTACGGTAAACCAAGCTAAACTCGTACCAAATATGTGTTTAGAAAAAAAAATGTGTGGAATACCAGGTGGGACAAACTGACAAACAGAGTGACAGGCAGACTAAGATACATTTACCGACAGATGGATGAACAGATAGATGGATAGATGTAACTTTACCAGATTGGGAAAAAATGACAATAGACAAGTTGAATTTATCTAGTTTTTAAAAAATTTGTTTCTTAGGTTATCGTCATCGTCTTAAACTTTCCCGTAAATACATGTAACAGTCAATAACAATCAGGAAGTAATACAAATTTATGCTATATATTTAATCATTGAATTATTTCATAAAACAATAATACACCTGTATTCTGGACTTTCTTTGGTCAAAACGACAATTTAACAAACATGTTTAGGACAAAGTCATCTCCCACATCAAACCTTTGAATATTTTTTCCTTGAGTTGTTGATCATTCTATTGACCTATTAAAAAAATCAATAATTTTATAGTTTTCCGAAACTTATCTCGTTAGTACTCGTGTTTGTAGTGTACATTGCATGCAGTTGAAAATATGGATAAATATTGAAAATGCAATATAAGAAATCTAGAATTTATCGGGAAGTAATTTCACAATTTTACAGAGGTACAAGGTTAAAAATCAGACGTTTGTTTTTGTTTCGCATTGTTTCGGAAATTGGGAAATCGGACATAGGATGACAATGTTGTTGAATGTTTGTTATGACAAATGTGTCCGATCCGGAGGATTCAATACTGAGTAGATAAGTACACTGCTCTTATTGTCATTAGTTTCATTGTGCTGTCCATGAGTGAAACAAATGAAACTAATCCTTGGACTTTACCAGATAGCATGAGAGAATTTCTAGATTAACAGAATACTTACTTTTTTGTTAGCGAAACAAATACTTTGCAAACTATTTTAGGGTTTACAGCAGGGATTTGTCTTCTGCAATTTGGGTTTTAGACTTTCCCTTTTTCTTATCCTTACTCGTAGATCACTGAAAGGTTTTCTAGAACAATTTTATTCTCAATTAAATGACCTTGTTAATTTTAGAAAAGTTATCTTTAGATAAACTTTATGTACCGCATAAGTGGAAATTTTGGCGAGACGCAAATTTAGCGATTCCCACCTAAAATCTGGTATTTTATTTTTAGCGAGAAGTAATTTTAGCGATTTTGAAATGATAACTAATGAAGCTATTACAAATAATACGCAATTAATTTTTAGCGATATTCAATTTTAGCGATGATGTCAGCACCCTCGCTAATAATGCCAAAATTAAACCCTCGCTAAAAATTCTATTATACGGTACTTAAAATTGTGCGATGATTCTTTAAATTGGTCATTTTATCAAGACAAGCTTTTGATTAACTACCGGTAGATAAGACAAAAGGATTCCTGGAAGTCATCATTTCACAACTTGTACATGCTTTGACGATACAATACTTTAAAGTCAATTTTTCATTCTTTATTTTTAAGTCATTATTTACGCAATAAAATTTCTACGCAATATTCCATTTACAAGAAGCAAGCGTCCGGTTTGACCGGTTGGGATGTTCTACTCAGAGCATCTCAGGCATTTGACTCTGTCTTTGATGTTTTGGGAGATCTGCGTTGTCTCTTCTCCCGATTTATATTGTTTTGGTGGACTTTAAGAGCTTGAATACTGTTCGTCTTCTGTACATTTCATCAGCATATTTAGTATTAACAGCTACATGTACTTTTAACATGGTAACATGTACTGATTGGTAATGAATAAGCCTGATAGCTTGGAGAAGGCTTTTTACAAGTTTTTGTTTTGCAGTTCACTATTGTTCCCAGCTCACAAAACCGGGGGAGACTGAACTTTAAAAGGTCAGGATTTTGACTGTGGCATGTCAACACAATAGCTTAACACCAACGGTTGCAGCTGATCGTTATGATATTTTGACAAAGTTGTCATCCAATGCTGTAATATTCATGGTTATAAAATGAGTCTTTATCAAACAAGCTCAATTAAATTGAAATTAATTGGATATTTAAGTGTGTTTAATATGTCCAACATAATGGAAAGAGAGGTAAGATAACTTATTCATCATTAATTTGTGAAGATATTTTTTAAATCAAAAGCAATACACATCAAAAGAGAGTCAAGAGACATTAAACTGCAAATATTTTTGGGATAATAATAAAAAGTTTTGGATTGAGATAGCGCTATCATTAATATCCTTGTTTTTCTTTATTAACAATTTCAAAAATTAAATAATGCAAATTTAGTATTAATTAAGGTAAGTCACTCCTGAAATTTGTTATATCAAGGATTTTTTGAGAAGTATACTTTGGATAAGTACTCATAAAGTGTAACTCAAAATCGCAAAGAAAATAGTGGGTCAGTGTGCATCCTACTGATCTACGGTACATTTACCGGTATTGCTGTTTTTTTTCGGTCAATACAATGATTTAGCCATCTTCGTAGTACAATATTCACCTCGCCCTTCGGGCTCGGTGAATATTGTACTCCTCAGATGGCTAAATCATTGTATTGACCTCAAAAACCAGCAATAATTGTATAATATTGCCGTACTAGTGTCCTGTACCAAATATGAAATTTGTTCAATGAAAATTATATGTCTGTAATACAAAATATTAATTAAATCAAGTTTTAATAGTTGACCTTTTTGCACTTAAATTTTATCTCTTTGGTTAATTACTTTAACCCTTATTATATTTGATTAGATGTTAGAATGGCAATAAATATAATCTTATTTTACGTAAAATAGTTTGAATAAGATTTCTCATTAAGCAAATCTTGCAAATTAATGCGCGTAAATTATTGTGTGACCTTTTTGCACTAAAAAAATAACATATTTGGGGTGTAAAAAAACTTAATCGGCAATAAAAATTTTTTTATATCAAATTTTTTACGACTTGAGTGCTGATCAGACACAAGTATAGAGTAGTTTAAAATAATGAAAGAAAAAGGTGGGGTCAGTGATGTAAATTTTGAAATATTTGTCAAAATATTTGATTTTCAGGCAAAAAATGGTGTAAATTTGACCTTGACTTCTTTAGTATATTTTCATTTTTTGTAAAATATTGTTGAGGGAAAGTGTAAAACTTAGTCTAAAAATATAAATTAAAACTTATATGAAATATTTTTAGCGATATCAAAACGGAAAATATTCTCCGATTAAAAGTATGTGAGGCTAAATTTCCATTACATTAAATTTTATAAATGTGCAGATTTGCAGAATTTTCTGCTAAATATCCTTCAACCAAAAGAAATAGTCCCTCATAAATCTTGCTTCTTTGTAGATTTCTTTTAGCAGTTTTTTAATCAAATGTTAAAAAATTTACCTTGTTGAATTTAAATATGTTATAAAAATTGAATTTTGATAAGTAGTTTTGAAGTAAAAGCTTCTGCGTGAACTTTTCTAAAAAGCTGACGAGTGACTTACCTTAATAGAAAGTGCACATAATGTACGGAATGTAGGTTAAATGAAAAAAAAAACGTACAAGAAAAACAATAATGTAAAGTCGATTCTTTTTGTAATGATTTGAATTATACTTGTCTATATTTAATTGAAAAAAATGACAGACCGATAAAATTACCTTTAGTGTTAATTTTCATATTCAATAATCTCTTTTTATTTTCTCCAAATCTCCAAACTCTAGAAATTATTTAATTTATTGAAAAAAAACTTTAAAATCTATCAGCATAAAAATCCATTCATACATGTATGTCATATAAGTATAATACACTGACCATAGATAAAGAAATTATTTCTTTCTTAGGAATATAAAGTATCATTCCTTGAGCAATGGCGTGGTATTGAAGAAGCAGAACAGATTTGTAATGTAACGATACAAAAACATGAAACAACTAAAGGTAAGCTAGGATCCTATCTATTTTATATTATACTGTAGAGTTATTTTAACTCAGGGGGAGGAGTGATCAATGTTTATGGCCGAGCAAAGTTTTGTTTGTTCGTGGTGACGTTATTTCATGGGTACCTCGTTTAAACAGAAATTTCATTGAATAAATATGTTGACATGATTCATGTAAATATTTTTGGGGATGTAAAATTATGATTATCGGTGAGCCAATTAATCCACAAAATTTGGTTCCTCAGAAAATTTATGCTTTCCCAGTACAGGTATTCAAAAACGAGTTTGGAAATTTCTTTTTCAACCACGATTTTCTTCTGCGTGTGTGTTTAATTTTTCTATAGAGGAGATTTGTTGAACTTCTAATAGGAAAAGATTACTTTAAGTTTTAAAAGAATATGATTTTCTGCAGTTCTATTGCTTAATTTTTTTATTTACTTTCTATCAGTAGAAAATTTAGTTAACGTTTTGACAGATCTCCTTTATCCAAATTTTTAGGATACCCCCGGTAATATAATAAGATTGATGTCAGTAGATCAATTTAATTTACTTCAGTAGATAAATTTAGTTGACTTCAGTAGAAAAATTTAGTTGATTGTCTTTTACAGACCTTCTTTATCCACACGTATGGGATCATTTAATAAGACTGATATCACTAAATACATCTAGTTGACTTTTTTCATCAGATCTTCAATCTCCATCTAATTCGGATTATATAATAAGATTGCTGCCGATGGATAAATTTTGTTGACTTCTTACAGACCTCTAATGTTCTCCTGATGGCATTTTATATAATACAATTGATGTCAGTGGATACATGAAGTGATTTTTTATTTTTACAGATTTATTCTGTCCGCCTATCTGGGATCATATAATGTGTTGGAAGTCTGCAAAACCTGGAACCACTGTTTCGGCACCATGCCCTAGTTACATAGACAGATTCCTTATCAATGGTTAGTCCAAATCTAAAAAATTATTTCATATTATATATATATCGATAGTTTCTTTAGCAATTCATCAAAAACCTGAATATTATATAATTCATATTAAAAAAATCAAATATTTTTCAGAAGTTTTTAAAAAAAAAATATATTTGCATATAAGTGGTGATGTCCAAAAACCAACTAAAAAAAATCAAAAGTAGAAATTAAAATTTAGATTATTTTATATTTATTTTATCAACGTATTAGTAAACAAAATGTATAATATTCATGTGGACTTGTAAACATATACTGATTTCTAAGTTAAATTATTTTCAAATTCCCCTTTAAAAGTTTGTCCTCAATTTATAGTCTTGACAGATCAGAAATTCTTGAAAGTTCATGTAAGAGAGATAGAGTTATTTTACATCTATCAACGGTAAATGAAAAGCTAAAAGTAAATGAACACTTACACAAACCTCCCCCAAATTTCAAATAATACCTTTTAAAAGGTTTCAGATCCGTGTAATGAACTGTGCTGATTTAAAGAAAAATCAAATAAAAAAAATAAATGCTTATCCAAGTTTATATTATTCACTATTTCTCATTTATAGGGTTTCTGATAAGTTCGGGTTTTCCTTTAAATTTTATAATTAGAATCAAGCAATCTGTATATTATAGGTGTTGCCAAAAAGACTTGTAAAAATGATGGTACGTGGTACCAGAATCCACAGACGAACACTACCTGGACAGACTTTCACAACTGTATGGAAAGTGAAGCCAATCAAAACTTATTAAAGGTAAGCTAATAAATTTTTCTTCTGGATAATTTAAAAAGATGAATGTTTTATATTCAGCCCAGAAATCATTATATGATAGGACTAATGATACAACATATCTCACTTTAATTCAAATTTTCTCCGTGACAGAAAAGTGCATAACGGCATAACTAGTAACGTGTTATAGATCTAAGAATTTTGCACAGAGAGAGAGAGAGAGAGAGAGAGAGAGAGAGAGAGAGAGAGAGAGAGAGAGAGAGAGAGAGAGAGAGAGAATTTTAAGTAACATTTACTTGTAATTTTTTAACACATATCATCAATTATAATGTTGTATCATATTGCCTATTTTGAATAAGATTTTCTTTTTCTTTTTAGACAAACCTAGACCACATACAGACTATTTCTATGGCGGGTTATTCGCTTTCTATTATATCATTAATAATTGCTGTGATTATGCTCCTTAAACACAGATACAGGTAAATATTAAATCCAAAACCATGCGGCTATACGTTCATATATATATAACATATTTGAAGAAGTTTTCCCATTATATCACAAATATAATATTTTAAACCATATGCCCTGAAACACTGCCGAATCACGCCGGATATAGTTATTCCACCGGAAACAATTATATTGCCGTCCCGAACACAGTAATGTTCCCTTGCGTGCAATCATTCTGCATATAAAATACGTCGGGTTCGAAATTCACAGAGGCAGTTGCTAAGCAAACGTAAAGAGTTCTGCGAAAAATAAAAAGTCGAGACAACATTTGCGATTTGTTAATTTGAATTCAGAGGAATTAGATAATTGAACTGAGGGGAAAAATTCTTTGAATACAACAAAGGTTATTAACACAAGTGTCAGCATACTGAAAAAATTCTGCCATGAAACAAAACGGGATAATTCTGAATTACATGTACACTCAACATACATAGTATTCAATAATTAAGTTCGATGATCAATTAGGGTTCATTGCTTAAAAATATATATTAAATAGCTTAATTCTCGGGCAGCATTACCAGAAACTTTGGCTCTCGACGACAGGAAAGCCCTGGATTGTTGTATCGCCCTCTGCTTTCGGCGTCGGGCGACAGAACACTCCAGGGCTTTCCTGTCAACTATGGCAAAAATTCTGGTATGCTGCCCTCGAAGCCATGTAATATATGTATAATATTTAAAAATTCTGTTTATTGTATAAGAAAATATGCTTATAAATTTTAATACTAAAACATCAAATTTAAAATTCCTATTTTAGTATAGGTTCTAAACGACCAAGATCAAGAATAACAACTCTTCACTTAAATCTTTTCATCGCCTATTGTCTGAGATCGATCGCTTCACTTTTAATGGAACAATTTTCCATCAGCATCAAACATCAGGCCAGGGAACTCACTGGAACACAGATCCAAAAATCGGTTAGTTATGTCAAGGACATTACATGATTTTCTATGACATGCGTCATGCATGTTATAAAAGGTATTAAGACATACAAAATACATGTTTGAAGGTTTGTCAAAACAAACTGATAGACAAGGCTTGTTTTGTCCATGGCAAAATTTGCTTTTCACAAATAAATGATTCTTGTCGTGATTTGTTCTATGCTTATATTTCTTCCAAACTACAAAATAGCCTGTTCAGCATTAAAAGTCAAAATAGACAAATGAGCCCCAACAATTTATCGAACTCAACTAATAGTCCTTTTCCAGAGAAAATGGACGTTTCTATATCTATGCTAACGTACATGGTATAAATGAATCTTTTTCTATGAATAGTGTATTAATTTTATACTTTTACACTTAATTTGTATTTTTTATTTCTTGATCATTTAAATGGAATTAAGAACTTTACTGAGATTTTTATCTCTTTAATTCTATACAAAAGAAAACAAGCATTTTCTTTGATTTACAGGACCAAAAATTGCATTTTTTAACATTTCATTAAAAACTTAATAAACTTAATAAACTTATTGTACTTGATTTTATTTTACTTTTTATTTTTCTTAATTGTATTACTGGTCTACTAAAATTTAAAACAAATATTGTACTTTTAGGAAGATAATTACGTGTATATTAATGTATTTCCAGAATTGGGGATGCAAGCTGACCATGACGTCATTTGTGTATACTCTATTAGCCAGTACAGTATGGCTCGGTGTGGACGCTTCTGTTCTTGTCTGGATGATCTGTTGTAATCCGTGGTATTTTCAAAAAAGGAGCAATATTTTTCCACACCTTCTGATAGGATGGGGTAAGAAAGAATGAGTTCAATACTGTTCAATATTTTGATAAACTAAAATCAGCTTTTAAGTTCTTTGGACTTAATTGTTTACTGATTTAAGGAGGCTAGGGGAGGGGGGGTTAACAAATTATCTATAAGATATTACTATCACTCGGCAAAGAAAAATTTCCTTCATTTCAGTTTAACATTTGATGATTTTTTGTATATATCTTTATATGGAGCTTTTATCCTAACTAAACGTGGGAAACAACCAACCCCAAGTCCTCTTTAAAAAAGTAATTATATAGTGAACACATATTAAAAGAATGTATTTGTTTGCATGGACGATGTCTGTTGTTACCATATTGAGCTTAATATAATTGACCTTACTTGCAGGTGGACCTTTGCTTATAGTAATTCCCTGGGTTTGTCTGCGGATTTTCTTAGATGATGAGATGTGAGCATTTATACTTCTTCTTTTCTTCATTTTAAGCATTATGCTATTTTAACCATTATTTCAATAGCATATAATGAAAGGCATTGTTTTTGTTTCTATTATTTACAGGTGTTGGATGACGATCGATATAAACAACTATGAGTCTTGGGAGGCATGGCTGTTCTTAGGGCCTGTGCTGATTATTAATTCCGTGAGAATACTTTGAAAATTGATAAATTAAATTTCTTAACACTAACCTATTTCTGTTGCCTCATGAAAATTAAATTAAATTAATTTAATTTCATTATCCTTATAAAGTAATTGTTATTTATCCTCAGTAAAAATGTTTAAAGAAAAGTATTATTATCAACGTTCATTCGGGATAAATATGAAAATTAAGGATTCGGTATCTTGGTCCTATGTTATATTTAGAATCCTTGAATTAACTAACTATAACCTACTTTGGCAATGCAGTAGTGTTTAGAGCTTCTTCAATTTTTTTTGGTGAAACAAAATGTCAGAATGATGTAAAATTATGTAATTAAAATTTCATTTTTCAGGTAAACATCATTTACTTAATCTTGATAGGAAGATTTGTCATAAAGAACCACATGACAAAGAAAATTACCAGCAGCTCAACAGAGTTGTGAGTATTTATTATCAGGGAGAATAAAAGTGTGGCAAAATAAATTACATAAATAATACAAATTGGTCCTCTGAATAAGTTAGAGAGAAAAAGAGAGAGGGGTTTTTTTATAATCAATAATGATAATTTTAATTAATTTTAGTACTGGTTACTACCGGTTACATCATGATACATTTTAAGTTTCAGAAAGCATTGCAGTGGACCAAAAGAACATGCCATTACTACAATGATGTAAGTTATTTACAAAAGCAAAATTAGTATCAATAAATATGCCTTTAATTTGATGTTAGCCTTGATAAAATAAATCTTAGGCAAAATTTGGCAATTGCAATAATTATCAAACCTGGACATTTCTAATTTCCTTTTTCCATTTTTTACAGAAATACAGCGAAGCATATCTGCATCATTATTCCTTTACTTGGAGTACCTGACATTGTTCTTACTATTCTGTCATTTTGGCCTGATATCCATTTCTTATATGCTGATATGTTTTTCAGTTCATTCCAGGTAAATTACCTTTACACTTATGAATTTCATAAAATATATCAAGTTTGGTACTGCTATAACTACACCCCCCATTTTTTATAAGCAGATTAAACCATATATTTTCATACCCTCACTTGAAAAGTGGGAGGGTATAGAGTAATCTTGATGTCCGTCCGTCTGACCATTCATCTGTTACGCTTTAGGGTTCCACTCTCTTACATGCATCCGCAACTCCTCTCATACCACCAAATGAAATTTGATGAGACTTTCACAGAATCTTTATAACATATTGCCATTGTGACCACATTTTTTTTAAATTTTTTTTATCTGACACATATCTTGGGTTTCCCATGGCAAAACATGAACCCTGCCATTATATTCAAATGGAAAGCGGGGCATTTTTATTTTTACTACAAAGCACAAATGATATTAAAGTTTAT